AGAAGTTAGAGAGAGAGAGAATAAAAAGAATTACCACAAAAAAAGATTTATCGTTTATTTAATTCTTTGAATTTTCTCGGGGATTATCACCGGTATTGTTAGTGCGTTAGGGGCTTTAGCTGGAAGCGGTTTAGGAGGATTGGAGGGAGCCGTTGGCGGAGGTTTAATTTTCCTGCTTATCGGTTCGCTAGCCTCCATTGCTTTCTTTGTTTTATGGATTTATCATCTTGTAAAGTGAACCAGTAGCGAAAAGTAAAAAAAATTTTACTAAACTTGCCAATCCAACCAACACTGTCTAATTTTTACTATATAGATTACAACAATTTTTTGGGGAAAGTATTAAAGTAATTTATAATAAGTTAAAATTCCAATCATGGCGGCATTATCTAGGCAATATTTTTTTGGCGGAATAAATAATTCTATGTTTTTGTCTTTCTTTTGTAAGAATTTTTTTAAATAATTAGTTAAAAATTTATTGGCTACCACCCCACCCCCTAAAATAACCGTATTAACTTTTTTTACTTGTAGAACTTTCTTAATTTTAAAAGTTAAAATTTTAGCCAAAGTGTATTGTAAAGAACAAGCTAGATTATTGACCTTTAATTCTTTTCCTTCTCTTTCAATCAACAAACGCACGGCAGTTTTTAAACCACTAAAACTAAAATCATAAGTATTATCTAATTTAGTTAAAGGCAATTGGTAAGTATTTTGCCCTTTTTGGGCGAGGTTTTCAATGACTGGCCCTCCCGGATAATGGTAGCCTAAAAGCAAGGAAACCTTATCTAAGCATTCGCCAACCGCATCATCTAAAGTTTGCCCTAATAATTCAAATTCTAAATGTTTCTTTAAATAATAAAGTTGTGTATGACCACCGCTAATGATTAAGGCCAAAGCCGGAAACTTTCATTCTTTTTTGCTTTCTAATAAACTAGCGTAAATGTGTCCTTCTAAATGATTACCGGGAATTAATGGTTTGTTTAAATAAAGGGCTAAAGTTTCCGCAATTACTTTACCAATTTGTAAACAAATAACCAAGCCGGGTTTTTCAGTATAAGCGATATAATCAATTTTATTTTGACTAATCTGAGCCTTAAATAAAGCTTCCTTTAAAACTTTTTGCATGTTTTCTAAATGTAATTTAGCGGCTAAACTGGGAAATACTCCTCCGTATTTTTGCTGCTCCAAGATTTGGGAAATTGTAACATTACTAAGCACTTTTTTATTGGCCAAAATGGCGATGCTGGTTTCGTCACAACTAGTTTCAATAGCTAAAATTATCATAGGTTAGTATTTTTTTGCACAATTTATTAAGGAAACGGCTTTCAAACCAACGCTCCGACACCATTTTTAGTATATACTCGGCTTTTTTTAGTTCCGTCAAAATAAATTGCGTGTTTGGCATTGAGAATTCCCATAGCCGGAAGCAATTGATGTTTAATAGCGGACTCCAATTCCCGTGAATTATTTTTCACTTCGGCTACCACAAAAAAATTACCGTTTTTTTTGACCGCTAAATCTACCCGCAAAGAATTATGACCATCTCGACCCAGGCGAATTACATATTCAAAAATAATTTGCTCTTTTTGATAGCCCCTTCTGAGAAATCACTTGACTAATTGTATAGTGTGATATTCTTCACTGTAATTACCATTAGCGGCGTATTTTTTTCTTTTCAAAACTCCTCGAATAGGACAAATTAAAATGTCTTGGGAAATCTTTTTCTTGCGGGGTGCTTCTTTGCTAACTAAACGAATAAAGATAATTACTAAAATCACTAATAAAAAAATTAAAATTATTCAGCGATACTGAAAAAAAAATTTTTTTGACTTTTCCAAGAAGTTGGCTAGTTTACTCATTATTTTATATTTTTATCCTTATCTCAAACACTTTGTATTTTAAAGTTTGCTATATTTGTTACCTTGAAATAATGAGCAGATTAGAGAGATTTATGCAAAGTTTGCGGCTAACCTGCTTGAATTTGCTTAATACTTCCATTAATAATTTTGGATTTTTCAAACTGGTAGTTATGTTTGCATTAAATAAAATAAGTATTTTGACCGCGAAAATAGATAATCATGCTTGTTCTCCGGCAAATTCTTCTAGTTATCTAATACTAAATCAATGTGCGAATAAGCAACCTCCGCCCAGTTCTCCCCCAGCCCCCTATCTAATTCCTAGTGAAAATCAAGTTCAGCAGATTACAAACCAACTTAATCAAGCCTTAAATTTAGGTTTAAATAATCCTAATTTAGAGCAAGTAATTACGAGAATTAAGGAATTAATTAACCAACCCCTAATTTCTTCGCCCAGAGTTAATTTTTCTTCGGCTCCTTTGAATAATAATAAAATTTTAGAAAGTCAATTTTTAGCCGCTCAGCAAACTATTACTAGATTAGAAAAAGAATTAAGCGAAAAAGATACTCCTTTTGGGGAAGACTTGGCAGTAATTAAAAAAATTGATTTAAAAGATTTAGCAAAAGAGTTAAATATTCAATTATCTCCGGCTATAATTAAGCAAATGGAGCAAGCTTCCACTTACCAACAATTAGCCACGGTGCGGAATGCCGAAATTAAAAAATATTTAGAGCAAAATTTAAATAAATTAGCGGTGCTTAATCAGCCAAGTAAAGAAGTTATTCAACAGCCACCAAAGGAAAGAATTATGTGGTTGAGTTTATTGCTAGCGGCTTTATTAACTATTGGAGGATTAGTGGCGAAGTTGAAAAGTAAAAGGTCAAAGGGAAAATAATTTAGGGTTGAAAAAAATGGTTAAAAAACAGTTTGGGCAATAAACCAGCGAGGGAGAAAATTTATTGACATGATGAAGAACATGGCAAGTTAAAAGCAAAATTTATTTATTTTGGTT